TATTTTTCTGCTACATTACATTGCGAATGAGTCGGAAAACAACTTCTTAAAGAACTTCCACTTAATCAAACAATTTTGTAGAAAAGTTTTTCTTTGCTTATTTGAATTTAACTTTCATAAATTGTGCTCATTATTTTTTATAACATTGCGCGATTAGGAAACTAAAAAATTGCCTTAATTTCTTCTTCATTGCCTTATTTATACCTTGAAAAGTTTATACTTTTGATGTTTCATTTAGCAACAAACATCGCAAGAAACATTGCAACAAACGCAATACATAAGCAACATCTACCAACGTGAAAGGACTTCTTAAATTGTAATAACGATGCCTACTCTCCTAAGCATGGAGCATGGAGTAGTCCGACATGCAAAACTTCGGCCTGTAACTTAATAATTTATAAAGTTTTTAAAAAACAATTTTTTTATTATGCAAAAAAAATAAAAAAATTTAAAAACATTCCAAAAGATTTTTGATATTTTTGTAATTTTCTTGTATTTTGTGTACTTAAAAAATTATTTGTTTGTTATTACGTGGGTTTGGTAAGTGCCCCAAACATCAGGCCTAAATCTTTTATTGCATTCACTTAAGTTGGAAAAGTATTTCAAAGTAATTTTTTCTTAGAAGAAAATATGTTTTTTGTGGTAATTTTTTAAAAAATTGTTAAAAAAAGATGGCAATTAATTTAGCTAATAGAGCGCCTTTGTCCTTTCCATTATTACAAATTATGTGGTAATTCAATTTATTTTCTTGTTTATGAGTTGCGGAGTAATAATAAAAATAAAAAGAATTTTGTTTTAAGAATATGAAAAATTTAATGAAATTGATTGCTAATTGTATTAGTAAATTGAGTTTTTTCTAACGTCATAGTTTTCAATTTTCAAGCAAAACTATGTTTTAAATCATTAAGAGCTCATGTAAGAGGATATATCTAAAGATGAGGTTAACCCGGTAGACATAAAACTTATGCAGCCGTAGGCAAGAAATAAATTAACATCCATAAAGCATTCATTATGGTTTCACTTAATATTATGACTATAACATATATAAATGATTTTCAATATTTTTACTATAGTAATACTTCATGGACTCACCTCGGTTTCATTTTTCTGCCAATGACGGCTCAAGTCATAAGTATTCTTAATATAAAATGAATATGTAGTAGCTTTAAAGAAGTTCTTTCTTTATATTTGATTTTTAATAAATTTAATCACAAAATTTGACATAATAGTGACAAAGACGACAACTATTAAAAAAATACTAACCGCTATTTTGTTTATATATCATGATAGTATTAGAAATTCATATGATATATATAAAGATATTTTAATACAATTAACGTATCAATAATATTAGTAATAACATCTCATATATAGCAAATTTGCGAAAGAAATTTATTGGAAGAAATCTGGAAGCTAATTTATATTGTTTAAATTATATTAATCAAATTGGGACAGGTAGATCGAATAATATTAAAGAATATTCTTAGAGACCTTATGCTGCAACATTGTTCTTCATTTTTTAGAATATATAGGCCGTGTGCGAGTTCGAGTATATTGATGGTAAATTGAGGGAAATAGTAAATTACGTCGGTATGGCAGCGAATGTTGGTATTTACCAACATTAAACTAGATAAAAGTTGGATAAATTAGGTATTACTATTGTGAAAATTTTAAAAGATGTTTAGTAAATAAAATTAAAAACTTGTGACCAAAAATAATAAATAAGTGCAGTCAATAAAAAAATAAATAAATATTTACATAAGTGCAGTGTACAAAATCTCTAGGAAATTTCAATTTACTTAACCTCAATTTTCTCGAATTCGCACATGGCCATAAAGAATAATTTTTATAATAATTCACATTATCTTACTGAACTATTTCAACTATAGATCTGCTGGAAAATTTTTTAAGTATTTTTAATTAAATTTTTTATTTTCTGTTAATATATGAACTATGTACCAATGTGCATTAATGATGTGCGTCTGATGATTTGTTGAACCAAAAACATCGGTTGTACGTGTTTTCAATATGTACTGAGGTACTGGGTATTAAAGAGTCGTAGAATCGAAAAAAAACTTTGATTAAAAAATTTCTAAGATCTCAAAAATAATTTATCTAAATTGCTTAAGCTGCGTATCGAAATATTTTAAAGCCCGATATCTCGAGCAATATGATATATTGTAGTATGCTATAACATAATGAAGAAAGTAGCCCACAATAAAAATTTTCCAAAATCAGTTGTAAAATTCCTGCGCAGATGGAGCTGTAATCTTCCCCATCTATATAATTCTTATTTTATATATTTTATTAGCAAAGCCTGAATAATTTTTCTAATTTTAAATTGACAAAAAACGAAAAATTGTTGCTCTGTCTGCTTTAATATAAAAAATATTGCTTTTAAATTATTCAAACACTCTATACACATACTCTGACATATGTTATCTTCTTTATTGTGTAAATATTTCCCTGAATATATTATATGAATTTTTATATATATAGTATATCATGTCAGTTGTATTTAATTTTTAATGAAGGAGGAACAACAAATTAGTTAAACACGCGCTACTACACTCCAAAGGATCTGCTGAATCGCGATTCTAAACACGATTACATATGCTTATTTCGCAGATAAAAACAATAACACAAAAACACGCTTATGCAACATCCTTAAATATATTTAAAATTTAAGATAAAAGGAAATGAAAATAAAACACAAACAAAAACAAAAACAAAAGCAAAAAGAAAAACAAAAATAGAAATAACAAACAACAGAACAAAAGCAAAAGCGAAAAAATTTTTTGAAAATGCGTTATAAAAGTGCTTTAACGCACATAAACATAAGTCGTTGGGTATGTGTTAGTGTGTGCCTACATCATAAAAAACAGACATAGGATAAATAGGACATTCCCCCAGACAAGTTATGCTCGTAAAAATGTATAATGCATATATTGCGATACTTAGTTGTGACTTGCACACAGATGACATACACTGTTGGCTATGTGTGTGAGTGCGTGTGTGTGTGCTTCCATTTAAATATGAGTTTGCATAAAAAGCCTGTTAACAGTGCGCGTGAACTGCTGCTTTGTGTGCGAGTGGATAAGTGTGTGTATGTGTATGTGAGAGTGTGTTAACGTATAGTACTTAAAAGTATGTTTTTGAAGTGCACGGTATGATGCGAGGGTGCTGTTTCTAAAAAGTTGTTTAGAATCTTTCTAAATTTTTAATTTTTTAATTTATTTTTATAAATTTTTTTTGGTTATTTTTTGTCAACGAAAAATCTGAAGATAAATGATTTTTTGTTTGCATTAGCAAAAGTTTCATTTGGCTTATTTTGTAATTATAAGATTAAAAAAGTTTTTATTTGTTAAAATTTATATTTGCATTTTTATATACTCAAATTATATTGAGAACACGTTGTGAGTTGCGAAGTTGTGAAGATGTAAGTGAAAAGTTAGCATGTTAGCAAAGTTAATAGCATACATTTTTAGCTGAATATCAAATGTTAATTAACTGAAATTTAATTAAAATGTACTCTTGCGTAAAAGCACAATTAAAATGAAATAATCTGTACTTCTATTATAAAATAATAAAATTTACAGTTTAAAATTGTTTGCTCAACTGTGACATGTTGGCCACTCTGCCTTTCACACCGCACACAACATCTCGTTTGCACAACTTTTTGCACAACAATTTTTTTGCTTTTATTATTTTTATTTCATAAAAAGTGTAGAAACAATTGAAATTGTTTAAATTTTATTTTGCCATTTGGACTTTCATTTGTGCTTTTGATTTGTTGGTACGAGGGGCAGGCATTTGCATTTGCATATGCATGACCTTTTGTTTGGCTTAATAAGTGAAGGAATTCATGCTTTGGTGCGTATGAGTGACATAATTTTGCAATTTTTAAAGTTGCTCTTGCGTTTGGTTTGTGTTCTTTTATGCTCTTTTGTGTTGTTCTGTACTTTTCTGTGCTGCTCTCTACTTTTCTGTGCTGTTTGTGCAATTGTAGTTTTCTTAGCAAAAGTTGACAAATAAAAATAGTTTATTGCCTTTTGTGAGTTTTGCTAAAGTCCTGTAAGGACAACAATAAAGTATTTTTCACAAATTTTAGTTGACGAAAATATTAAGAATTTTAAGTTGATAGTTTTAAATAAAAGTTGTTTTTATGTTTGCTCATTCTTTTTATTGTTTGAGTAGAAATTGTGAATTTGCTATATGATGTCGTCCTTTGCTTTCTGTTAAAATTCACTCAAGTGTAAGTTTAAAATATTATTGTTTACAAGGACTTGTGGAATTTGAGTGCAGTCTTAAATGTACCTAAAACAATAAAATTGTTTGAATAAGCTTTTAAGTTGATTGGATTGAGTAGTAAAGTTACATTTGAAAATCATGTTCAGAAAATATTTACTTTTATACTGAAATTTGCTGTTAACAATTTTGAAATTTAAACTCCAAACGGTTGTCAAATATAAATGGGGTTCACAATCTTGATGTGATTAAAAAGCACAAAACGCTTTAAAAGTTCAATCATAATTAATTTATAATTTCTTTAATATTGATTTTTTCTTTTTTAGTTTATAGTAAAATAACTTAAATTTTTTTTATTCTCTCTCCTGATTCTTCTTCTTGAGTTAGTGCTATTACGCACTTTTACTCTATAATGGCTGGGGGGCTTATAATCTACCCTACACTAGGCTTTATTATAGCTCTGGAATAATATGCATTTTGATTAAAAATCATATTTAGAAAATATATTCTTTTATACTGAAATTGGTTAAGATGTGATGGTAGTAATATGAAAGAACGACTCCTTATAACAAAATTCAATAGCTTCACGGTTGATGAAAATGAATATAGGTTCTTAAATCTTTTACAATCTTATTAATAGAAGGATAATTAGTTTAATATTAGGTTTAATATTTAACTCTATTATTAGGTTAAATATATGCACTATACTATATTAAAACAAGGATCTTGAATTTTTTTTGTATATATCTATAATCTTTATAATGGGTAAAATATGTATACAAGACCTTTTATTTTGTAGGCCTTAATACATTTATTAGCCTTTCTACATTTTAGGAATGATTCCCGGTATGGATGGGCCTACTTCCGATTCATATATAATTTCCAACATACGTTCGCTAGCACCATTTGTTTTTCCTTTATTAGCAACGCATAAATTTTCTAGAAGGAACAAACGAGAATAGTATATATTAGTTTCCATATCAACATGACGTTTTTCAGCACACTTAGCTTCTGTATAATGGTTGAGTTGATCCAGTTTTTTAAGTATCATTTCAGATGCAACAGATTCATCGGATGAACTTCTTGCTAAAGACGAAACACTACTTCTTGAACTTGGATTACCACTACGCGAGGAACGGCGAAAGGTTGTTGTGGAAGTTTTGTTCAAATCAGACTTTGAGATAGATGGTGACAATAGCTTACAAGTGGAGGGAGTTGGTGACACATATGAGTTATCTAAAGTTTCGGTGGATGGACATGATGTTATGCTTGTGATGGAGACAGGGCGTTTATTAACTGGCACAGTTGTGGATACTTTTACTTTTGTTTTGACTGGTATAGTTTCACGTGGACTTGGAAGAGGAATTGGAGTTGGAGTTGAGTGTGTGGAGTTTGATTTTGCAGCCAGCGAAGAGCTAGCTGTTGGATTTGTTGGATTTGTTTCTTCGATTAAGCTAGGTTCTACGCTTGTAGTTGTATAAGAAACCGTATCAGAATCTAATTGTGCTTCGTCTGCTATATGAAGGGTAATTGTATCCTGCGACGAATTGCTTTTATTTTTTGGCTTATGGCCACCAGATTCAGCTGCAAGTGGACTTACAATATTGAAGTTACTACCTCTTCTAGTTGTAATTGGGTCGTAGTCAACTAATGTACGTTCTGTACAATTAGCATCAAAAAAACGCCGGAACCATTGTAAAAATTCTAAGTTTGCTTGAAAACGACCTTTCACTAGTTTAGTAATTGGAATCAGTTTAGTTACACCATGTCGCTCAAAAGCATCTTGTAAGAGTTTAAAATTCCTTATATAGTAATACTCTTGATTAGCATCGAACTTTACCTTATTCAATGGTATGGAACCTTTATAAAGCATATCAAAGAGTTGACAATAAGCAGCTCCCGTACACATATCTTCTGCGTGTTCCAAGTCAGCACAAAGTATATAGTTTAGCCATTGTACCAACTCAAACCGTGAGTAACCTTCGGTTGTATTTCCACAGTAGACCACATTTTTTACACGTGGGTATGACATTTTTAATCAGTTGACGTACAATTTTATAATGTACTATAAATTTTGAAAAATAAGTAGTTTTAATCAAAAACTTTCATCTAAAGGATTGTTACAAAAACAAAAGTAAATAAAGTTGCAGGCAAAATTTTGAAACAATCTTTAGAATTTTTTTATGTGAAATGAATTTTTATTTAAGTGATTTAAAGTAAATTTTTTTCAAACTCAATGCTGATATAATTGTTCTATAAAGTTTTGTATTAAAATAAAAATATGAGATTTTTAAATGATTTCTAATATTCTTGACTACTTCGATTGTATGGATATAAAATCCAATAACATTTTACTCAACAAGCATACATCAATGTCTGCAACTATAGAAGGCGCAACACGTTTTTGAATAGTTGATCTTTGTTCTAGGGCACTTTAATAGAAATTTTATATTAACACCATTACTATGGTAATTGCAATTGGGTGTTCATCGGCGCAATGTACCGGCAGGAAATAACGTTAATAATACAGATACGTCTGACACTTTAATACTCTTCTTACTTTCGTTGTGAGTAAAGAGTTAGAATATTCCCGAGGTATGGCATTCTGGCGCTATGTTGACACTGTTTGTAGTGCTCCGGCCGGGCACTTGCGACACCCGGCCTGAGGTGTAATTCTACGGTGGTCAGGTGCCCACAGCTTCGGCTGTCCTGACCAACCCAGGTTGGCAGTGTTGTAGTGGCTGTGGTAAATACTCAAACTTACCATTATACTTAACATTATTCGGCGTAGTGTGGCCTACTCATCAGCGGGTGCGGTGACTCGAAAATCAGCAGAGGATTTGGTATGTCTCGCATCATACCGAGGTGGAAGTTATGTCCTGAACACATATTTTCATTGGCTGGATTTCACGGAATTACCAATGGGGCGTCTATCGGTGCATTATCTTGATACATATATTTGTAGAGCACTGTGGTCTTAATTCTTAATGCCAGGTACCTACGCTTTACGGCGCTGTTATTGACACTTTAATAAATTAACTCTTTAGAAGTATAGTTGTCTTGTCCATAATACGGCGTTTACATTGGCCGAAAATGGCTCATTTTGAATGACTCATTTGAAAGTGTTTACATTCGTTGTATTTCATTCGTTCTCATGGTAACAATTCAAACTGAAATAAAACTACTAAACATTTGTTTATCTTTTTTTTGTAAATATGTCAAAACAGCTTTTACAAACTGTCAAAATGCCATGAAGAGCTTTCATTTAGGGTATGTTCAATAGATTCCTTTGCATTTGGAACATATGTGGAATGCATTCGAACGTCATTCATACAGAATGTGAGAAAATTGCTCATTTTGTGCTTGAAATTTTATATGCAAGAATGAGCCATTCGATACTCATTTTCGATTTTTGACCAAAATGAGCCATTTTCGGCCAATGTAAACGCCGTATAACCCATCTAATATTCTTTTAAATTAAATGAATTTTTGTGTGTTTTTTTTTCTAAATTTATTGCAGTTCATTTTATAATTTAATTTTGTTCATAAGATTTTATTTCTAATTTGTTTGCAAAACTTTAATCAAAATGCTTCTAATTCAATATCTGCATTAAACAGTTATTCAAAAGCAGAAACTATCTTAATTGGTATCTATAGCATTTGATATTTAAAAGGTATTTATATGTATGTACATAAATAAAAAAATAAATAAAATTAAGTTAAACCTTCCACAACAAATTTTGTGTGCAATTTGTGTAATTTTATTATAATTTAGCTGTAAAAATATAATTTAAAAAGTTGTGATCAACAAAATTCGTCATAAAACAGCAAAAGGAAAACCAAATAAATGAATGAAAAATTGAATAAATGAGTGAATGAGTGAATGCATAAATAAATGTCAGTCTTCTTCAGTTCATCTCTGCCAGACGGCGTAAAATATTCTTTTGTAGAGTTTTAAAAAGATTGCAATTTACATACATAAAATAATTCCACAAAAAATGTCATAAAGTATGCGAAACTCAGTGCTGAACAATCTGAAAAAATACATGAGTAATATGAGTTCTGTCTAAGGACCTTGTTATATAGCCTTTTTATGACACATTTCTCGCCCACCTGCCCACATGCCCACCGTGCTGAGTTTTTGCATTAAATCAGCTTTCATATACATATACGATATATTTAAATATATAAATATATTTTAATTTTTTTAAACATAAAACATACTTAGTACAAATTTTCGCTTAGTACACTGAGCAGTAATTCATTAAAATTCAATTTGGCTTATTTACTTAATTGGAATTATATTTAATGGTAATGTGTTTAAAATAAATCGTATTTCGCTGATTTTTGCAAAATTAAATATTTTGTTGAAATTTAAATAAATAAACAGAGAACAAATGCACACAAGCAAATATTATTTATTTCAAATTTGTTGTTATTATTGTTGTTGTAATTTGTTGGTCGTATTTTAAATCAGAGAAAAAATATTTATGTTATTAGGAAAATTTTGTGAATTCAATATCAGCAATTATGCAGCAATCAGCAACCAGCAACCAGCAACCAGCAAATGCTGCATGCCCGATTGTGGTTAACTGTGTGTACTGCACAATAATTTGTTTATTTAGTGTGTAATTGTTGTGCATTGTGTAAATATTCGCAACGTTCGCATTTTACAATGGCTACATTTTAAATAATTGACTGCACTTATTGCACCAACTGGACTAACTGCACCAACTGGACTAACTGCACCACTTGCACCAATTGCATTGAATGCCTGCATGAATGCATAAATGAATGACTGGACTGAATGAATGAATGATTGCATGCAATATTTAGTAAATTATTTAAATATATTGACAAGCAGAAAGATTTATTTGCTTACATTTATTTGCAAATGTATAGTAAGCGATAAACTAAAAACTTTTGTCGGCTTGATGGAGCGGAAATTGCATCAAATGCATTATTTACTGTACATTTATCTTCTTTTATTTAATTTCCAACAGTTCAATCATAAATAAATGATTCAATTATGATAAATGTGTTGATATATTCATGGCCACTTGTTCAGTTGCAATCGTAAACTTCCTACATACTTTTTTTCTTTTTTTTGATGAATGCCACAAAATTCCATAAACAGATTATAGGTAAAATTTTAAAAGTTAATAATTGTTTTATAAAATTATAATTGATAACTTTAATATTGTAATCCTTATGTGAAAATAATTTAATATTTATTGTACTATTAACCAATCCTAACCCTAACCAATTAAAAGATTTCGAAGATTAAAATGAGTGGCAAGAAATCTCGTATCTTGGCAATGTGGTAATGTAAGGTGATATCGTAGTACAGCATATTTTCACTATACATAAAGATTTTTCAAACTTAAACGAGGATTTAAGCTCTCGTTCCAGTAATTTCCTCTTAGTCCAAATAAAAGTTGGACAATCAGAAATAATGTAACTAGAAGAGTGTACTTTTTTTTTGGCAAAATGACATGTTTTCATCTCAAATAGATTAATCTTTTTGAAATGGTAACGCTTATCAAGGTGAAAGCAAAGCTGAATAAGACTCGCTTTATAATTTCTTAAAATATGGAAACTTTTAATCATAATTATTGTGTGATACAGACAGGTCTTATATATAACGAATTAGCACCTTTTGTATAAATCGGAAAGATGGAAACGTTGACATAAAATAAATTTACATATAGGTCGCCAAAATAGTGGAACCAATACTTTATGTCTGAGTCTACAGAAAACCATAAGCGTTTATATAAGTAGAGCTTTATTGTTAACTGCTCTTAACAATAAATGCATTGAAAATTATTATTGTGTCGTCATTTACTTTATATAAAAAATGAATTTATCTTGACTAAAAATAAAATATACACTATAGCTACAGGTAGTAATTTATTATAATGCCGTGGTCAAAATGTATACCATATACCATATATACCACATTTGACAATATGTAAGTACCGGATGTTTTGTTACTCATTTCTGCTTGTCACAGACTTAAGCAAGTAAGGTTAAGTTTACCCGGCTGGTTATAAGATACATATAGTTCTATTGGTGCCAATTAAGTATTATTATATGTTAAGGCTAGTTGAGTTAGTATACTTGAGCTCTTTTACTCACAATTAACTGCGAGGTTTCTTCATAACCCCTTTGTACGCCATGACTGGATTATTGTTGATCACTTCATCAGAGTAAGCAATTATTGACATCAGATTTGCATATCTCCCCGAGGAGCCTGTAACCATTCTGAGATTCGATAATGCGGTGTTGGTATGCCTGTATCCATTATGTATATTTTGATCGGATCAATCTTGAGGTCGCTGAGGTTGTCATGTACCATGCTACCTTGAAAAGTCTTCTCAGTGCAATTCTAGCCAGTGTTAGAAATTGCACTGGCTTCTTGCAATTTCTAGCTGACGAATGGAAGTGTTTGAGGCCTTGCTGAGCGTTACAGATCCATATACAAGTGACGATCGAATTATTTGGTTACATAACAGCTTCCTGTTCATAGCATTGAAATTTTCATTTTCGAATAGCGATTAGAGGTGATGTAGCCTTTTGGCACATGTAATTCTTTTTAGTTCAACATGTTTAAGTCATGTGAATCGCTTGTCCACCGTGATGGCTAGATATGATAGCCAGTTTATTACTATATCTCCCACTCTCACTATTGACGGTTTCTCTCTCGACTTACGCGTAGTAAACAGAGCCTTACATTTTTCATTATTGATTTTTATCTTCCATTTCTGGAATTACTCCAGGATACGGTTTATATGCTTTTGCAATGTGTTGGTTATGTTGAGAGTAAATTTATCCAAGTATAGCATACATGTATCATCGACATATGACGCCAGAGTCGAGGGACCTAACATTGGGATATCTCACGTATAAATATTGTAGAGAGTGGGGGAAAGTGGCAATTTCATTTTTTGCAGTGCTTAAGAATAATCCTATTAGTGATTAGTAGATGTCCCTATTCAGAGCATAACGATCATTTTTATTTCAGCAGAATGTTAAAAATAATTTTTTTAGTGTTTTTTGTTTGCAATCTTTACATATTTATATATTAACTGTCACTTACAATGATTGACAGTTTATGTTTATAATAGAATAGTAATAATAATAATAAAATATTTATTTATCATTAAAA